TGATTCCCATCCATTTCCTCCAGGAACTCCCAGGTTTGGTGGCTTTAAAAGCAATACACACCATGATACTTTTGGCAATTAGAGAAGAGACGGCAACTGAGAAGATGACACCAAAAGAGGTTACACGCAGCATGCAGGTTACATCTACTGGATGGCCGAGGAACAAGAAGACACAGAGGAAGCTCAGCATGATGGAGGCCAGGAGAAGATAGCTCAGGTTCCGGTTATTAGCTTTAACAATGGGCGTGTCCTGGTAATGTATAAACATCCCCAATATTACACCAGTCAGAAGACAACAGAGGATGGAGACAGCTGACAATACTGCAACAATTGTATCATCAGTGTAGGAGAGAAACTCTACAAATTTTGGAACACACCGATCCTTCTTCTCATTTGGCCATTCTTCATCAGAACATTTCATGCAGTTTTCACTGTCTGCAGGAAGAAAAATACCAACACAATGAGTTTCTGATAAAAATGTGTTGTGTTGCCTTACAGTTAGCGATTAGATTTCCATCATTGCATTGTGGAAGTGTAAAAGAAAATTTAATAATTTACCTAAATAATATTTAAATGTTATTATTAAAAATTATGTTTAAATTAGGAGATAGATAGATAGATAGATAGATAGATAGATAGATAGATAGATAGATAGATAGATAGATACTTACCGTATATACTCGAGTATAAGCCGAGATTTTCAGCCAGTTTTATCTGTTTTACAATGTCATATAAAAGTAGGGTTCCTTGCCTTACCAACATGCACTGCTTCCTTCCCAAGGCTGCTGTGAAGGGAGGATTGGTGCCACATCCCAAATTAGAACATAATTAAAAATAAATTCCAAGGACGGACTTTCAAAGCACCCATATGACCATTTGCTCATTATATGAAAAAGTTTATTTAAATTACAATGCATCATAAAAAGTTATTAAAATCCGAATAAAATTTACTTACGCCCACTTCTTAATTTTTTGCCTCCACCTCCATACATATATAACCCAACAATATACACTGAGTGGCCAGATTATTATGACCCCCCCATCAGTACTTCGTTGGGCCGCCTCGTGACTCCACGAGATGATGAAAGGTGATGCGAGGAATCTGACACTGCACTGTTGCCCTTCTGTTGTCTTGTACCAGTCTTGCCCCTCCCCCGTTCTGCCCTAACATTGACTAGTCGCTGACGGCCACAATTTGCACGTTCAGACCCAGATTTTTGGCTGACAGTCCGGTCTCTAAACACTTTAACAATGAGTCCCTCTTGAACATTTATCGAATTCTGCTGTTTTGCTGATACTCGCTCCATGGCTCCGAGCGCCAACAATCCTCCCACGTTCAAAGGCTGTTAAATCGCGTTGTTTCCCCGTATCTTCCGAAAAGAATCACTTCTACTGTCGTGGTAAACAACCTGCTTCCCTATTTATAATGGTCTGGCCCTCTAGCAACTTCAGCGTGAAATTATAGCTCATTTGCCTACAAACGTCAGGTGGTCATAATAAACTGGCCACTCAGTGTATATACATCACATGCATATTTCCAGCTAATCCTGATAGGTATGGATGGTAAGGAGATATGTGGAGGGATATGGCTCTACATGTTTCACTGATGGTGCCGCTTCATCTGGCGAAGATCATGCAAAATATTATTAACTTTGCTTGCGTCAAAATATATTTTGCATGTACAAGGTCATTCATCCGAATAGTACCACTGCATCAACTATGTGGGCAAGCATCAGGACATAATCATGCAGTCTCCTCAGGTAGAACTATGATAGACAATTTAGACGATGTTAAATGCCTCTCAGAGAGATGAAGTGCAGCTATATAATGTGAGTCACATAGGTTATATAGGTGGAGAAGTAGTCCACAGCCAAGAGTTCCTATACTGAAGTAAATTGTTCAGATCCGAGATATAAAGCTCACAAAAATTCCTCAGCAGTATGTGTCCCTGAATATCCTGTCACTGTGTCCCCACTCCTTGGATGGTTCAGGACTTTTTTTGCTCCCCCCACGCAAAGACACTGTTTTGCAGTGGATTTTCCCAGCTGTTTGCTTTTGTTTGCTCTCCCTTTCTCTACTAGCTACTTCTCTCCTTTCCTCTATCTCTCTTTCGCTCTTCCCTGCCTTACTCCCTTTTCTCAGGCCATGGTCTATGGATGTCTACACTTTGTACCCTAGTCCTCTCACCTGTGCATATAGCTCTACTTTGCCAGCCTCCTCCCATAGTAATGATGCTACTTAAAATACTTAGCCTCAATTCAGAGGGCCTCAAGTTCCCAAATAAATGCATGTGGGTGTTTTGCTTTTTCAGATCAACCCACACAGATATAATTTCCCTTCAGGAAACCCATTTTCCCATAGTTCTGCTAAATATTTCAGCGCTCAATTTCCTCACATTTATCTGGCCAAATGCACCTCACAAACATGGGGGAGTCCTTGTAGGATTTCGACAATCTTTGAATTTTGTTTTCCATTCTGAATTCCAAGATCCGGAAGGCAGATGCTTGATCTTAACAGTCTCCTTCATGATACTGAGCTCACACTAGTCTCCATCCACCTCACTCTCTGCTGTTCAAGCCCACTACATTGGTACTGTTACACTATGTGGAGGCTCTAATTTTACCCTTTTTCCACATAGGGACAGATCCACAGATTCCTCCGCACACTTGCATTATTCAAAGGCCTTCAGAGACCTCTTGGCACACCACTCATTGGTTGATTGTTGGTGTGAGCACAATCCTGACAAAATTTACTACATGTATTATTCCCACCCCATTTGCTCTTCTCTAGAATAGGCCATGTTCTTGCTCCCGTTTCCCTACAGCTGTCCATCTCTCATTCCAGTATTATCTTTGTGACCTGGTTTGATTACTGCAGCGGTTTCCATACTCTTGTCTGCCATGGTCCCTAAAGCTAATAGTTTGTCAAGGACTCTAAATGACTCCCTCTTATCCAATCCCATGACTTGCTCCTACCTTTAATCTGCTATCCATGAATATTTAAAATGTAATTGGACTCCTGATATTCCCTATTCTTTTGTGGGAGGCCCATAATCCTGTCATTTTACTTTTTGGGCCAAACACAACCTGACTAGATTCTGGAACTTTCAGAGAAAATAGTGGTCTCAAATCCTTTTCAGATTTTAAAAAACGATATCATATTCCTGGATAGGAATTCTTTAAATATCTCCAAATTACTGCCTGCATCTCTAAAACTGCCAGACTAACACCTGACTACTCAACTCAAATGTCACGATGACCCTCATAGCCTGAGTCTCATATCCCTACTATATTCATCCCTTGTAGCCACCCCCTCAGCTCCCCCACCCTCTTACGTTGTGAGATGGGAGCAAGATTTGTATATTACTTTCAGTGAAGAAGAAGAATGGTGTAAATTTTGGTTAACTACTAAACTTTGCTCATGCAGTGTAAGTGTGTTGGAAATTAACTATAAGGTCATCACAAAATGGTTCATGTTCCCCACTAAGATTTCCACTATTGTCCCTGGCTATTCCTCCTCTTGATCCAGAGGTTGCAACGTTTTAGGTACCAATATATATGTCTGGTGGCACTGTCCTGTAGTGTCCAGATTTTGGGATCGCATATTTCATATCCTTGGAACTTTAGCTAGCAGTTCCCTCACCAATGACCCGTCTTTTAAGCTTCTCAATATGACACCTGATACCCTGTCCTCTGCTATATGTAAACTACTTTTACTTGTGCTATCGGCGACAAAGCGGGAAATAGCTCTATCATGGAAATTGCCCACCCTTAGCATTTCAAGCACTATGTGACCTGGATCATGGTTCAAAAAATCAGTCAGCCATGTTGGACAACACTATGCCCAAATTTGATAAGATTTGGTCCCCCTGAACGCAGCATTATTTACCTCCCCATTTTGATCAACACCTACTTACTATCTAGTGTAGCATCCCCGCTTTCTGTTATTACCTTTCCCCATCACCCATGGCCTGATACTCCCCTGTTATTCTTTCAACCCCTCTCCCTTTTCTTGATATCCTTCACCTTTCCCATTTTCGTCTCTCCGTACTATCTACACATGGTCTGTGGTGTAATCAAATATTTTAGAGTTGTGTATTTTCACCTCATTGACTAATGTACACTGGAAAGCTGCCTACTGCAACTGACTTATACCTAGTCAAAACCTATTTTCTATCTGACCAAGTACACCATATTTGTTCTCTCTATATTTCCTGTTTACCATTATATTTATACCTTGTAATTGAATTTTTGCATTTTGTTTGTCTTTACTTATTCCCAATAAAAACATTTGGTAAAAAAAGGAAAAAAAGAAAATCACTATAGTTTACTTATAAATAAAATATAGTATAACCTAAATTAAATTGAATCGTTCTGTACTTGCGGGAGATGAAACATGGGAATATGTGAATGTATTGTTGAGATATACTGCATATGTTTCTTTTCCTTGACAAACACTACAGCTATAGAGGTAATGTCCACTCAGTCCAACAATAACTCACTAACAAATACAGTAGAGTAGTATTGTACCATGCTACCCATAGATTAGTGCAGAAAGTTGGGAGTTTAAGTTATACCCTTCGTTGGCTAAGTTAAAGTGTATTTCCACATTTGATTTTAAAATAAAACCTCCACTTTATGTTTGTTATGTGTTCAGTTTCACACAGCATTTCCAAAAATATATTTTTAGAAAAATGTCTTACCTTTTAGATATGTATGTGTTGCTGGAGCATTTGTAGCTTTTCTGTCAATTTCAGTAACAACAAACTCTGACTGTCCCCATAGAAAGACTAGGGACAGCCTGAGTTCCACCTCTTCAACATAGAATGCTTCTAGATCTTTAACCATTTGTTAGGACAAACAGTGTTTAAGTCTAGTTTACAACTGGTAATGGGATCTTCCAGCACAGTACAGATGGGGTTAATCATGTTAACACTAATCTCCACCCCCTTGCATTCCAGAGAAAAATTCAGTACAGACAACAACTTTTCTTCCAGAATTGAACATGATTTGTGCAAGCAGCAAGTTATTTTTGTAAGCTATGCTATGAATGAGAAATATGTAAAACATATAAAATAGGTGTTGTAACAATTTAATTTCATAAGTAGAAATGCACTATAAGTTAAAGATTCAAGCCTACCGCCAGGCTTTATAAAAAAACGATACTGAAACTCAAATGCAAATAAGCAGAGTTACAAGGAGGAGCAATAAATATAAGTATTCTAAAGAATCAAGTAATGGAATTTAAAAAAAAATGTCATTAACAAATCTAAACAAAAACACAAACAAACAATACAAAGTCTACCAGAAATGTTGGATATCTCTCCTTCTGGACATGGGACACACTCATAGCAGCATTCATGAATTGAAGATCCAAACTTCTTTCTTGTTCCAGGTAAACAGGGATCTGAGCACCGAGATACGGGAACCTGAAAATCAGAAATCATTGTTATTAATATTGTCATTTTGTCATATCCTATGGGATGAGGTTCAGGTTCACCAATACCATGGGTTCAAGCAGATCCTGCTGGTTTGAGATTTGTAGTCACAACAAACTTATGTGCAGATTAACTCAGAAAAAAATGTACCCTGCAGAATTCTTTAAACCAGAATGCACTGCATGGCCTTTGAATTATGACCATTCGTCTTTAGCTGGCCATACAGTAATAGATTTATAGCCTGTGGGCTAAACAAAAAAATCTAATAAAAACTTTCATTCATGCTAAACAATGAGGATGATAAATCTACCACTGTGGCTGCGACGGACTGCACTGCACCCCAACTGGGTGCCTCCGTCACTATATAGCTTTCTCTCCGCTGGAACCTGAATTCCAGTATCCTCAGCCCAAACCTGCCTAATTATTGGATGGAACCAATATATTAGGACAGAAGAATTAAACTCCCAAAATAATAAAGATTTACCCCAAACATCAGACAACACCAATGTCGAAGTCAAAACGGGAACTGACTTTATTGCAATCCAGCACAGGATATATACAGTTCTGGGGGTCTAAAACATAATACAATCAGACATTCAAACAATGCCAGCAGACCATTAAAGAGTAGGGAGAGAGGAGACACATATGGTGGGATTATCTCCTGTGTGTCCATCATTTGTTAATTCACTCAGCTGCCTCTACGGGTCTATTCACTAAGCTGCCGAGGGTGGCCGAGTGAACAACCGACCCCAAGTGAAGTGAGCCGAACACTATTCGGCTATTCGCTTCAGGCTTGTATGGCTGATTTCAGCCGTACTTCGGTTTGCTTTGCTTTGGGTCGGCCGAACATGCTCAGCATGTTTGTCTGACCCGAAGTGCAGAAGAAGTTCAACTCAGCCGATCCAACATCTTGGGCGGCATTCGGCTTGGCTGCCTCAGAGGGACCGAGCTGAACAGAAAAATAGTAAATAAAAATGTTTTAAAAAGTAAATAGAAAACAATTGTGCGGAGCCAGCAGTGACAGCTAGCTCCGCCCAACAGTTTTCTAATGTCCGGCGGTTCTGCTGCCGTAAAAAAAAAAAAACAACTCTCCCAGGCGCTCTGGGAGCCTCCCGCTCCTGGCTGTCCAGGAGAGAAACACTGCTTTATCTTTTTTTTTTCTTTTTTCTGACACGGAGCTGTGTCAGAATAGAAAAAAAAAAACGTTTTTGCCCATATGAATGCATTGCTAGATTCCTATTGGCTATTTCAATTTGCAATAGCCAATAGGAATCTAGCAATGCATTCCTATGGGCAAAATTATTATTATTATTATTTTTCTATTCTGACACGGCTCTGTGTCAGAATAAAGAAAAAAAGAGAAAAAGCAGTGTTACTCTCCTTGGCGGCCGGGAGACTCCCGGAGTACATGGGAGAGTTTGCTGTCTGGAGATCAGTGTCCCTGGTTAGCTGGTAACCAGGGACGCTGATCTCTCTGCAAGTGGCCGGAGCCAGCCTTGGAGTTAGAAGAGACTGTACAAAAGATGGGGATTTTGAAAGGGAAGCAAAGGGACTTAGAGAAAAATTTAAAGTTAGGGGGTATAAAGATTTAAAAAAGTATAATACAGGCTTACAAAATGGTCAGAAACCCATCAATTATGTAAAAAAACGAACAAAAACTACTACTATTACTATTACCTGCCACCAATTAAAATGACAACCCAGACTAACTGAGACAACAGTAGCTGCAGTGGCTGCATTTAAATACAGTGTTGGTAAGCACTTCTCAGAAGCGTAATTTATAAATGCAATGTAACATTATTGTTTAATTGTATTTACTAAATTAATAGGGGTGACCTTTGATCTCCAGATTATATCAATCAAAGCAACTTTTTAGGTAAAAAATGCAGAATATGCTCTGGTTTATAGGAAGTATGTTGGTGTGAGACATTAGTGTAAAATGTTCTTGCTATGGTTATAGAACTCGTACAATATGAATATGTACGATCACACACATATAATTCTGTGAGTGAAAAATTATTTATCTTTACTCAGTTCTTTTTTTTCTAGTAACTCTTTGAGGCTCAATGGGTTAATCCTCATTATTGATCCAAGCTTACATTATGGACCTACCTCATCACCCAACTTCCATGTTATGGCGTTCATATTAATTTGAAGTTGCTGATCTTCTGGTGCCCAGGATGTAAAATTTCCCACATCATTATAAATCACAGTCTCTTTATCCTTATGTATCCAATTTGTTACTTTGTAGTGATAAACAAATTCTCCGTATTCATTAAATAATGGCGCCGGCTCATTAACACCAAATGCATATTTAACTTTTCTTAAATATTGATGCAACTTCAACATGAATATAGAAAGAAAAACAAACATGTGTTAAGTAAGAATAGCAATCTGTCACATAGAAATCAATATTTTAAGTTAAATTCTGGGCTAAATAGCCCCCTCCCTGCCCCCACCCTTCATAAGAGAAGCCCCCGAGCATGTACAAAAAACAAATCGATATACATAGCTTTTTTTTCCAGTCATCTTTGGTGTGGTGACAGCAGAGATCCTCCTCCCCTTCTTTCTCTGATAGTGGGGGACTCGATTGCTACAGAGAGCAATGTCATCTAATGACATGACTCCACACTCTACAGCATTCTCCTTTGAGTCCAGGACAGGGGGTGGAGCTTTGGACACCCTGGGCTCACAGGAAGTAAGTTTATTGATGCCGGTTATCATTTGTCCTAGAAGACAAGCATCATTGGGTTGGTAACCAGGGGAGTTTTATGACCAAGCAGAAATTGGGCTTTAATTTAGATCGTCCCATCCTACATTGCTCCCCTTGTATGTTCCAGACCAGTCAAGCTAATCCTTCAGCCTCACTGCAAGTAAAGTCTCTGACCTGTGACAACTCTGCAGGCAATTAAAACTGAGTGATTTCACTAAAAGTAAAGCCAAAGGATCAGCTTAGCTACCATAGATCTGTATGTTTTTGAGGGTGGTCCAAGTTGAGTAGAGTACACCCTATTATAGAGGTCATTTATCCTTACAATCTATTTCCTTCAAAATAATGCAGTATAAAAAATCTAATATATTCTTCAGCATGTTTAGATATTAAAGGGTAACTATTAGGCGAGTGAAAATCACTCCGCCTCACAGTTCTAACCGAAGTGTGACAATTAAACTGTCACAGGTCGGCTCAATAGATCGGGAAGTGAGCGAACACATAGCGTTGCTCGCTCACGTAATCGATCTATCCCTGCAGAGAGCCGTGACTGTCACTCATGGCTCCCTACAGGGATTCCCCTCCTCCCCTGTCCGATCCTCCAGCGCTGACTGGCGGAACGGATGGGGGAAGGGGCAGGTACAGGTGGCTCTGCCTCTGGATAGGCAGAGCCAGCTGTCATTCCTGCAGCTTGGTGGATCTCAACAGTAATGTCGGGATCTGTCATGGCTGCATTGTCTCGGTATACCTCGAGCTGTAGCTCCCTATATACTGAGCTTTGGGTGACGGGAGGACGCAAGTTTGTGTCCTCCCGTTACTCTTAGGAGAACTATGGGGGAAAGCCCTGACCCCATAGTTCTCCTTTAATATAGTCTAGGTTTTCCTTTTTCTAAATTATATGTGTACAAATGGACAGATTAAAAACTGCAATATTTCTATAAAAACTTTGAACTACATTTTGTACAAATTAAATACATAAATAAACTGATTTAATTATAACATTTCCAGTCATTAGTACTCCATAGTGATTAATATGTTTCTATGGGGAATTAATAGACTTTCTAGTATTTTTCAAATGCACTTATAATAGAAGTCAACCTATTATAAATAATCTTTATCTTTGTGTTATTGTTATGTAATACCTGGTTTGTATTTGTAAATTGTAACTATATCAGTATTGGGGACAGTCGTACTTCCTGAATATATATTTACTAGGCATGAGGAAAATAAAAAAACTTTGTTTTACCAAAATATATATTTTTTTTAAATATGCAAATTTGGAATACATTTGCCATTTTAGTTAGTGGCTTTGGTGTCAGTGGGAAAGGTGAGATTAAGGTGCTACTGGTGTTATTAGGGTCCCATGTAAATCCTTGTGCTGCATTAATTGACAATATGTGTGCTGAATTGTGCAAGAAATATGCATCCCATTGTGCATCGGGGTACCTTTCTTTTTTAGATTTCAATAGATTTTAATTAAGGTTTTACAATAAAAGATGTAAAATACATAGAATTTGGCACTATTAACCAGTTGACATCCGCGGTGTTAAACCCCCTTCCTGTCCAGGCCAACTTTGAAATCGGTCCCATAGACTAACCAAGCCACCAGTTGTTGTAGAAAAATAGACTTACAATGTTCTATCACAAATTCATTGCTTTCACATTAAAGAAAAGCTCATGCAAATGATGGAGAGGCAGTTTCAGAGAAACTGGAGGCTTGCTCGGGTTGCAGACCCTCATAGGAGTGACCATTGCAGACCCTCATATGAGTGATCGTTCTCCCTCTGAAACCTACTGTTTTCAACATTATTTAGAACTCTTCTTTACTGCACCCCTCCTCCCTGGCAGCTCAAGTAGTAATGCTCCCAAAACCAGGAAAGGATGATAAAGACCCACATAACTATAGGCTCATATCCCTCCTAAATATGGACACCAAGCTACTTTCCAAAATCTTGGCCAACCGGATACATTGTTTCCTGGAATCATTAATTCACAGAGACCAAGAAGGCTTTGTCCCCCACCGCCAAGCCACGGACAACACCCGAAAAGTCATCCAACTAATACACCACATGCGGCACAACAAACTACCGGGCATGTTGTTGTCCCTGCACATTTAAAAGGTCTCCTGGGACTACCTGTATTACATCCTAGTGAGATGGGGATTTCCCCCAATCTTCCTACGGTGGCTAGATGCCCTATATAATAACCCCATCCGCCACGGTGCAATACCTCCAATGCTCTTCTCCACCATTTGATATTCAACGGGGCACTAGACAAGGATGCCCCTTATCCCCAATCTTATTCATTCTAGCACTTGCACCCCTGGCATACTTACTCCGACACAACCCAAATATACACGGCGTGACGGTCGGAAATACAGAGCACAAACTTAACCTATTCGCGGACAACTTCCTCCTTACCATCTCGCAGCCCCACGTCTCCATCCCAAACTTACTTGATATGCTAGACTCTTTCGCACAAGTTTCCAACCTATCTATTAACACAGAAAAATCGCAAGCTCTCAACATATCTCTACCACAGGATGTGGCCGAAACTGTACAAAGGAGCTTTGACTTCATTTGGTGCTCCTCCAATCTGGAGTATTTAGGGATATAGCTGACCAAAGACTATTGCTCCCTCTATAAAACTAACTATACTCCCCTTTTCAGAACTCTGACAGGGCTACCGTCTACCTGGGCCCGACATAATCTATCCTGGATAGGAAGAATTAATTTGGTCAAGATGACCATTCTCCCAAAAATATTATACCTATTCCGGACCCTGCCGGTGGCAATTCCAGGATAAGCCTTACACTCATTCCAGAAAAAAGTACTCACATTTACCTGGGGAGCCACCAGACCCAGGATCTCGAAACTCACAATGTGCACACACAGGAAACAAGGGGGGTTGGGCCTTCCGAACTTTCACAAATATTTCCAGGCAGCCCATATAGCCCCCATAAATAACTTATACTCGAATTCGCCAAGACCACTATGGGTAGACCTGGAAAGTGTGTATTGCACATCGACTTCAGTCAGAGCTCTTCCATGGCTCCCCCCAAACACAAGGCCAAAAACTCTCACCCCAGTGATGAACCATACTCTCCGAGTATGGGATCATACTAAGCATCAGGGCAAATTAATCTCACCTCATCTCCCACTAATGCCCATAATAGGCAACCCACTCTTCATCCTGGGAATGCAGTCGCCTGGGGCGTTCACCTGGTGGACATCCCAAAACATAATATACCTGCACAACCTACTGCACGATGGGCGGTTACGCAGCTTGCCAGCTCGACTAGCGCATTCCCATCCTCAACAGTTAGCCAAATTTTTCAGAGGTTGCGATGCAAAGGGTGATGTCATGCACATCTGGTGGACATGTCTGCTGGTACATCAATTCTGGATCAAAACGTTCAGGCTACTGAACTCAATCCTCCAAAGGAATATACACAAAGAGGTTTGCCCTGTTACAACTTAAACCTCCAAACTAGCGGTCTTCACATTCCTAGCTGGAAAACAAACTGTAGCGCAGGCATGGAGGAAACAGCAGATCCGCTTTGGTGGTGTTAGTCGACGACTAGACTCATTTTTCATCAACGAAAAACTGTCCAGCATCCTGACGGACACCCAAAAAAAATTCCTGAGGTCTGGGACCCTTGGCTGGCATATGCACATCCCACCATTCCCCACACGAGCTTAACAACACTTTGATTGGACACCCTAGTCTGGAGGAACTACCCCGCTGCCACTTACCTCCCCCTCTCCTTTTTCTGCTCTTCCTTCTTTCCTAGAGGCACATTCCCCCGTGCCCCTTCCCCCCCCCCCTCCTTTTTCTGCTCTTCCTTCTTTCCTCCCACTCTTGTTCTCTATATATGATGCTCTTGCCCCTTCGATACGCACCTTAGGGTGCTGGAATCATTTAGCTTGATCTCTGCAATGTCTGTTAAATTAATACAGCTGATTTACAAATGTTACCGACAAGATGATTGTATAACTGCAACTGTTTTGTATTCGTTTTTTGCTTATATGATGAACAAATAAAAAACTATTGAGACAAATACGGCTTCAAGATGTCACTTCCTGTGCAACTTGTGTGCGCTTTCCAATGAGACCTCTGATGCGTATGCGCATGCACATATTGTGCGTGTTTACCCTGTGACCCTGAGGACGGGTCTTCTGGACATGCGCATAGGGGCACACAGCACTCTGGGCATGCACAGAATGTTTCTTACATAGGCAAATTCAGGGTGCTGTGTCTCAGAGGCACCCCAAGGCACAAATCAGAAGTAGCTAGGTTAATAGGAGAGCCTTTATTCCCAAGCCCCAATTTATATGTTTTTTTTAAAGTTGTATTTCCACAAGGATTTAATGATTGGGATAGGACAGCTTGTGGCGGTAATGAGGTTTGAGCATATCAATATTATTTATGGAAGTCTCTCTTCCCTCATCTTGGAAAAAATGCAGCCTTTTTTAGTTCAAATTACCTGATGTCCCTTTGTTTAGGCCCCCTCAAATTCCAGCAAACGGATATCTACTAATCTGGGCCTGTGATCTTTATAGTCCCTACCACTAATTACCTAAGTGAGCTTACCCTCATAACCTTTTCTATGGCCCCCTAATGATAGTCAACCAAGCATGATTGCAAATCACCAATAAATTAGCTTCTGAGAGATCTAGGTAAACACAAGAGAGTCTGGAAAGGGTAATAACCCAGGTGAACTCGTATTCACCCTGAACCATAAACTGAAGTTTTCACCAAATTCAAAAATCCTAATTCTGGATCAAAGAGTGATATTGTAAAATAAGGTGTATAAATAGTTATGTCTCGTCAAGACAAATCCAGACATATAACCCATTTGTGGACAATGATGCTCAGAGGTCATACAGGTCACATTACTCTTCCTGGGCCAGCCAAAATTGGCTCACATGGCATGTTTGGTTTTGATCTAAAGCTCATTTCATGATGTACAATAATTTAGGGGTTACATAGTTTCATAGTTAGTCAGGTTGAA